AATCAGGGAGCCAGCACCTGCTGAGAAAGAGTGAGGGAGAGAGAAAAAGAGAGTGAGAGAGGTCACGCCGAGCAGACCTGACAAAAAGAAAAGAAAAAAGCAAAGCATCAGAACACAGCGGAGACATACATACACATACATACATATACAGTACTTACAATACGCAAATGCAACACTAGAGTTCGATAACACTGTGTTACTGTCATGTTCAGCTCCACTTCTTGGTTTCCAGGCAGGCTACTCTCTTGCTCTGCTTTCACCTCTGGCTGCTGCTGCTGTGGACTTGCTGCACCTGGGGAACTGGTTACACCTGGTGCTCATCAACTCTGCCTTTTTAATCTGTTTCCTGCTCCTGTCAGATGAACATCGTCACACTTGCCGCTTGTATTGCTTTCCAGCCATCTCCTGTTCCTGTATTCTGTTGCTCCACCTAGTGATGAAGAAACCGAAGCTTTCTGAACCACTGAATCAATATGAAGCAATTGTGTTGAAATGGTTCAGTGTTTCGAAGCATTTGATAAAATCATATATAGCACCATCTGCTGGCCAACCCTCAACAGAGCATTTGCATGGAACAACAAAGGGCAAAGTCTCATGAAACCGTAAGGCACTGTTATGCGCTGTATGTTTAACAATAACAGTCCTATGTGCATCATGAAATGTTTGGCTGTTTTGTCTTTTGAAGACAATAATATACTTGTGTCATAATATGATTGTGCCATCTTAAAATACTGTGTGTAATAAAGTTATGCCTATGCAACATTGTTAGAAATACAAAAATATATTTACAAAACACAAAAATCTGGAACAAAATTGTGAAATGCTTGTGCAACCGGGAACTGTTATGATGATAGTTGTACAAAATGCTAGTGTACAATGAAATTCTTATTTTGCCGTCCACATGAATGCCACAAAATACAAATGAAACATAAAGTAGATGAATAAGTAACACAAAATCTAAGGCACTTTAAAAACAAGATCCATTGTCTCCTTACTGACAATTGTTGGACTTCAACTGTCCTGCATGTTCTTTTATGAAGAATAATTGGAGTCAAATATCACCTTTCAAACATTTATTATCATAACTGAATGGACCATCGAATAAAGCAATTTACAGAGCTCTGGGTTCCATCTATCTGAAGCCCTACCAAACAAAACCGTTCAATCTGCCTTCAGAGCAGTGGAACGCTGTCCTCCTCAACTCAGTTGATTTTATACAATTTCAAATGTGCCATTGTAGGCTGGTCTGGCCCTCTCGTGCTGTTCCATTGGTCTATCTATCCATCCGTCCTCCTCCTGCTCCTATGGGAAAAGGCAGCTTCCTAAAGAGGGAGGAAATTCTACTCTATCTAAATTCCTACACTCACTTCTTTCTTTGTATCTAAGTAACTACACTATCTGAGGCATGGCTTTCCATTTGGCTAATTAAACTGTCTTGCATGTGTGTGTCTGTATATGGTCCTACCTTTGAAGTTGTCTCCTCTTCCTGGCTTTTAGATCAAATGTCTGTTTATTACCCTTGGTGTCCCCCTTTGATGTTAAACAGTGCTCCAGTTGACTGACACAGTAAATACTGACCAGTGATTCAGTGAACACATAGGGTGACATGTAACTACATGAACATAACTGTGAGATTAAAGTATATAGACTTATGTATGCTATAAAATAAATCTTAACTATTCATTTTCTTACTATGATAAAATAATCATACGCAAACAAAGTAAACACACAGGTTGACTAATCAACAAGCATAGTGTCAGTCTTCTACTAATTAAATTCTTAATTCAACCAAATGTTAGAATCAACCTTAACCCTTGTGTTCTGTTAAGGATCTTAAAGTATGACTTTGTTAATAATTTTACCAAACACAATGCTGCCAATATGAGTGCTTGTGCCAAGCTTCTCAGGCTACGCAACATACTTTGTTTTGCAAATAGTTTAAATTTGGTGGTAAAAAAAGGCACTGGAGGCAACAGCAGAACTTGCAGATAACCACACAAGAGCTAGAAAAGTACTTTTTTTTTTTTTTAAATCAGCACCAGGTCCAAGGGGAAATTCACAGAAATATAGGAATAACTGGAGAAACCTACTCATAAACTGATTCAAGAGGTTGAAACCAGATGGAATTCAACTTTTTTCATGTTGCATCATCTACATGAGCAGCATGAGCCAGTGGGAGCAGCACTAGCATCTCTTACAACAGATGTGGTGCCACTAAGCTTTGTGGACTATGAAGCCGTGGTTGAGTGCCTTGAGGTTTTGGGACCGGTGTCAGTAGCTAAAACAGAGCTTTCAGAGGAGAAGACGATGTCTGTATCCAAGGTCATATCCATAGTTTGAATGCTACAACAGAAAATCGCAGAGAAGTCCTCATCCCTATTCCATCCTTGCACACAACTGCTAGGCCAAAATTTGCTGCACTTTTTAATGACAAGGTGCAGTGTGGAAAACATTCGGATCCTGGCAATGGCAACTGTTCTGGACCCAAGATTTGAAACATTAGCATTTGGTAACCAAACCTATGCGCAGGAGACAGTTGCAAGAGTCACAGCAGAATGTGCAGGCTACATGAGATCAGAACATGCCACACCCGCAACATCACAAGTAATAGCTTTCCCTTTATTTTATCATTACTTATATAGGCTGTATCACAGAACTATTTACTGTATGTATTGACTTTTTTTGTTACAATCCACAACAGAGGAAGCACATGGCCATTCAACACAAGAGGCTGACTCTGACAACCTGTGGGAACTTCTGGACAGCCAAGTTGGTTGGTTGCAGTAGTCTTTATAAAAACAGTCTTTGATAATAAAAAAATAAAATAAAATAAAATAAAACACATACAATGGGTTTCTCTTTTTCTGCTTTGATTTCCTGCAGGTGCAACTCAAATAGTTCAGAATGGCTGAAGCAACAGTGAAGGTTCAGCGTTATTTGGCTGAGCCCTACCTCTCCAGAGGACAAGATCCATTAAAGTACTGGGAGTCAAGGGCTGCGGTTTATCCTAAGCTTTACAAGCTTGCCAAAAGATACCTTTGTATGCCAGCAACTTCTGTGCCATGTAAAAGGGTCTTCTCCAAAGCTGGAGCCATAGTAACAAAGAAGAGGAACAGACTGAGGAGGTTTCGCATGTCACCTAGGATCCTTTGCAACTTCTACAGCCGCACTGTCGAGAGACTCTTGACCAGCTGCATCACTGTCTGGTATGGCAGCACAACTGCTATGGACCGCAAGCACCTGTATAGAGCGGTAAAGACTGTGGAGAAGAGCACCAGGACTCCACTGCCCTCTCTGCAGAGCATTTACCACCACCGCAGGGTGTGTAGTAAAGCTGCCTCAATCCTCAAAGATCCAATACACCCCCAGCAGAGACTGTTCGCCTCCCTACCCTCTAGCCAGAGGCTCAGAAGTGTGAAATGCAGGACCTCTAGACTGAAAAACTCTTTCTTTCCCTCTGCCATCAGACTCCTAAATGGCTGAGGAGTTTATTACCAGGAAATACGTGATGTACTGTTTACATTCTCAGTTTGCACATGCATAATTGCACATTGACTATTGCACATGCTGCTCCCATGTAGCAAACATTCTCTATTATATTCTATATATTTTTACATTATAGATTTGTTTGTATGTGTGCATGTGTGTCTGTGTAACCTGTATACATTCATGACAGAGCTACTCTGACACACCCCTCTGTTACATCAATAGTTGAAAAAATATTTTAAGTTTATTTATTTTGGAAAAATATTGTATCCTGTCTGTTTCGATTCATATTTATGTTCAAAAAACGTTTAGTTTTAGCCTGTTCAATAAATGTGTTCCTGTTCGGCCCGCGACCAAGTTTGTTTTTAGTTTTGGCCCCCTGTGCGATTGAGTTTGACACCCCTGAGGTAGGGGGACACTTTATTCATTTTTATTTAAATCAGTATTTGTTCAACAGTGTTGTACAGTACAAGCCTCGATACATGCTTCACTAAACATTTCCTGGATTTCTCGACACATGCTTCGAAGCATCGGCACAGTAGGTCCCATTACTACTTAATACTTTATTTCATTAAAAAAAGTCTTGAGTGAGAGTTTGCGAGACATGTATAAACCGAGTCTGTGTTGACATTGATTAATATGATTGATCTCTTGTCCGCAGCTGATTTTTACTGTATGAAAAACATCTCACTGAGCCTGTTAAATTCCTGAAGGCAAATACAGTTATATTGATAGCAGGCGACTACACAATAACCACACAAACCTCTTAAGACTGTTTACATCTCATATCCTTCCTGTCATATTGAAGAAGTTGGATTACGGGAGCGCATATGTGTGCTCACCCTTCATTCCAACTTTCTTTGCAGTTTTTGCATACACATGGTTTCTATGCGTTTCTATCATTAATACATCTGACCCCTGGTCTCTCCACTGACCCCATCACTGTTGTTACTCTCTTGCATGTTTTTTGTTACTGGTCTGTGGGGGGCCAAACCTGAATGATAATGATAGGCCATATGTGGAGGAGGGAGATGTAAAAAATGAAATATGAAAAATATGAATTTTGATCTGACCATTCTGACAGTGCTTGCATAGTCAGAGATCAGCTATGAATTGGATCTGGGAGCACATATGTAAGAGTCCCAGATCTGATTTGGAAACATTTGATCTGGTTCGTAAAAATCAGACCAGACTCACTTGGAGGGTAAAAAAGATTTAGGAAAGGTAAGTTGTAAACATCTATGAGCTCAGGTCTCAGGACAACAAATATATACTGTAATTGCATAGTTCAATGAGATACATGGGGTGGGAGGGGGGTATGGGGCACGTTAAAAACAACACTGCACAGAGCCAAACCAATCATTGTCCAACCTCTGTGCTTTTGTACTGGTTAGACCACACAAGCATTTCATAGTCAAATACCACTTACTGTACATGAGAATCATAAATAGATTGTTATGAGACTTGAAATAATGAATGTTTTAGTCATTACCATTTTCTTTTAGACAACCTTAATGGATAATAACTTGAATGAAACATATATAACTCTTGATGGGTATGTGGAAATTGACCAATACAGATATCTTTATTTTATGATCATGTTTACAGCATATATTCTAATACTCTGCATTAATTCCACTATTGTGTCTCTCATTGTGATTCACAAAACCCTCCATGAGCCCATGTATATTTTCATTGCAGCCTTGTTACTGAACTCTGTTCTTCTCAGCACTTCTCTCTACCCAAAGCTGTTGACTGATGTCTTATCTAAAAAACAGATTATATCCTATTCAGCCTGTCTCTTTCAGTGGTTTGCATATTACACTCTGGCCAGTTCAGAGTTCTTACTGTTGGCAGCCATGGCCTATGACAGGTATGTGTCTATATATAAACCTCTGCAATATCCAACTATCATGAGAAAATCAAAGGTCTGTATTTTCCTGGTTTTAGCTTGGCTCGTGCCTGCAGGTCTGACAGCAGTGCCAGTTCGCCTGAGTGCTGATGTTAAACTCTGTAACTTTACTGTTAAAGGAATCATTTGTAGCAGTACAGTATACAAACTTCACTGTGTTAGCTCAAGGTTGTTTTATATATATGGTTTGGTTGTTTTGGTAAATATTGTAATTTCCCCAGTGCTTTTCATACTTTTTACCTACACCAGGATACTTATAATATCTTATCGAAGTAGTAGAGAAGTCAGGAGAAAAGCTGCACAGACCTGTTTACCTCACCTGCTGGTTCTAATCAACTTCACCTGTTTGATGGGATTTGAAGTAATTCTGTCTCGACTGGACATAGATTTTCCAAAAACTGTGCGTTTGATAATGACATTACAATTAATTTTGTACACTCCTCTCTTTAATCCAATCATATATGGATTAAAAATGAAAGAAATCTATAAACACCTCAAGAGGTTGTTCTGGCGAGTCAAATTTTTCTAATGTAATAAAAGGTGCACAGTCATTGTTTACTGTTTCTCTGAACTTTAAAAAGCACTGAATCTAAAGATTTGTTTCTAAAACTACTCGACATTAAATCCCAAACCCAAAGATGCATTTCTATTTTAATTAGAATAAGGAATTCCTGAGGTGTTTTCTTTTTTATGCAGCAAAATAGAACCTTGATAGAACCAGTAATGACATGATCATAATCTCTGGATGTATAATTTATATAGTTCATAGTCTAAAATATCAACATATTCATGTTTGACATTAACAGCCCTGAAAGCAGGAGCATGTGCAATTTGTGTATGTAAAAGTGTATGTAAATAAAATTGTAGTTTTAGGTCCTGAGACGCAAACACTCAGAAGTTTGGATGCACTTTCCCATTGAATCAAATGATATATGTGTCCAAACGTTTGACTAGTAGTATATAGTTTTTAAACAAAGACAGCAAAGCTGAGTCAAGTTGGGTAAAAATAAACATTTAATAATTGTGTAGATAAAACCAGGAAATAAAATAATGTCTGCACAAAAATATGTAACGATGAACAACCTGTAATGTCTTTAAAAAAGTCAAACTTTATGAAAATTGTGAAGTGCTTCAATATATATGAAAGCGGTTCTGTAATAAAATATATGCCATGGTTGTGAACAGTATGTGCATGTTTAAATGTTTACATTGAAATTTTACAATGATGATCTTGATATGTGCAGTTTGTATTTATTAAAATTTGCAATTACTGCTGTAGCCTCACAGCAAGAAGGTTCTGGGTTCAATCCCCAGAGTCTGAATGTCTTCCTGTGCCTGTGGGGTTCTCTCCAGGGACTCCGGTTTCCTCACACAGTCCAAAGACATGCTGATTGGCAACTCTAAATTGCCTTTAGGGGTGTGTGGATGTCCTGTAATAGACTGGTGACCTGTCCAGGGTGTACCCCATGAATGTCAGCTGGGATTGGCTCCAACACTTAACTGTATGTGCACGTGGAACCTGGGGGCTGGGAGATTTTATTCCTGAAAAAAAAAAAAATTATTGAAGTGAACTGAAAATTGGCCCCACCTGGGACCTTTCTGTGTGGAGTTTGCATGTTCTCCCCGTGCTTGCGTGGGTTCTCTCCAGGTACTCCGGCTTCCTCCCACAGTCCAAAGACATGCAACTTAGGTTGATTGGTGTCTCTAAATTGCCCTTAGGAGTGTGTGTACATGTGTGTGGTTGTTCGTCTGTGTTAGCCCTGCGATGGATTGGCAACCTTCCAGGGTGTATCACGCCTTCGCCCGACCGGGATTGGCTCCGCCCCCCGTGACCTCGTTCAGGGACTAAGCGGTAGAAAATGAATGAATGAATGAATGAATGAATGTTGGCTGAACTGTTCATTAGGGTGATGCCAATGGAAAGAGACTGCACAGAAATTTGTGTTACTAAGGTGAAATGAGGTAGCCTTAGTCTTTAATGTGCTCATTAAACGAGTGTACAATAACACCAAGATTCTTGGCAATCAGACTTTGATAAATCACACATTTATTGAGAGTTACTCGCTACTTATTAATCATGTGTCCAAGTTGGGCCAGGCCAGTGATCACCATCTTGGGCGGGGGGGACAGTGGTGCAGTGGTAGAGCAGTCGTCTCCCAACCAGAAGGTTGAAAGTTCGAATCTCAGTGCCAGTAGTCCACGTGTCGAACTGTCCTTGGGCAAGACACTGAACCCCTCCGTTGCCCACAAAGGTTAGAGCCATCGATTGAGTTTGTGCCGCAGATGGCTATTGGTTCTGTACCGGAAACAAATTCCTTGTGTGTAACATACTTGGCCAATAAAGGTTATTGTCCTTATTGTCCTTATTGTCCTATAAGATACCTGAACTACCTCAACAGGCTCCTTTCCATGCAAAGGAGCAGCGGTAAGAGACCCACAGCTGCACTCTTGGTCCGGCCTAGTGGGGCAGAGGGGAGCATCAGTGGAAGTGGCCACAACAAGGGGAGCATTGATAGCGTATGGGAATAGGAGCACAGGAAGAGCTGCAAGAGCGACTTGTGTTTGGTATGGGACGGTGAGGAGTGCTAAGTCAAAGCAGGGTAGCAGTGGAAGAGCTTGGAGAGGGCAAGCCATGGCATCTGCTTCCCCAAGAGCAAGGTCATGGGCTGGGTACCTCCTAGAAAGACTGTAGCAATGCCAGCTAAGTTGAAGTGGTCACAGTGGTGAGCTGCACAGGATGCTGGTGATGGCTGGTGGTGGCTGGCGACTCGGATGGCTGAATGAGTTCATCATTGCTAGACCTGGAAAGACTGAGAGAAGATCCTGGGAGGACAAAGAAAACAGTTTGTTGTCCGAGGGGGCGAGAGACAACCAACCCATGGAACGTATTGACAACGTTCAACTTACATAAAAACAAAGCTAAATTGACAGGGAAGCAAGTAGGCTACCCCCAGACTATCCATTATCTATACCTTTTATCCTGAACAGGGTCAGGGAGGGGTGGAGCCTATACCCCGAAACTAGAATTATATCAAATAAAAAAAGGTTCAAATGATTTAAATTGAGCCCACAGTAAATGGAAGATGGGTAATGCAAAAGAAAAGTTAAAAAAGGAGTAGCAGCACTGCGGTCTCATGGATTCACGTGGAATGCATCACAGGAAGCAACAGTAAACAAAACTCGTTTATTGTTTTGTTAGTATGTTTTACATCACTGCTTGCTGTAGAATGTAAATGTGAATAATTCTTGTCTCTATTGTTGCTGTCCTCCGTGTTTATTTTTACCAGTCAACATCTATGAAATCAGGCCTCTGGAGTTTGAACATGATTATGCAAAATTTAAATTCAAGGGGTGGTGCAGTTTGATAAAGAAAAAAGGCTCAGACTCAAACCGACCACTGTCCAAACTCTCATGTGTCTTTATTTAATAGACCACGTGTGCATTTTAAGCTCAGGTACCAAAGACTGAATAAGACAACCAGATGGAGATTGAACTAATAAACATATTTTAGTCATTAACGTTTTGTTTTTGACAAGCTTAATGGATAATGACTTGAATGAAACATATATAACTCTTGATGGGTATGTGGAAATTGACCAATACAGATATCTTTATTTTATGATCATGTTTACAGCATATATTCTAATACTCTGCATTAATTCCACTATTGTGTCTCTCATTGTGATTCACAAAACCCTCCATGAGCCCATGTATATTTTCATTGCAGCCTTGTTACTGAACTCTGTTCTTCTCAGCACTTCTCTCTACCCAAAGCTGTTGACTGATGTCTTATCTAAAAAACAGATTATATCCTATTCAGCCTGTCTCTTTCAGTGGTTTGCATATTACTGTGTAGCCTTTACAGAAAATTTGCTGTTGGCAGCCATGGCCTATGACAGGTATGTGTCTATATGTAAACCTCTGCGATATCCAACTATCATGAGGAAATCAAAGATCTGTATTTTCCTGGTTTTAGCTTGGCTTCTGCCTGCTTGTGTATTTGCACTGTCAGTTGGCCTGAGTGTTGATGCTAAACTCTGTAAATTTACTTTTAAAGGAATCATTTGTGGCAGCGCAGTGATCAAACTTCACTGTGTGATGTCAAGACTAGTATATTTTTACGGCTTCTTTATTATTTTTAGTCTTGACATTTTACCTGTGCTTTTCATACTTTTTACCTACACCAGGATACTTATATTATCCTGTCAAAGTTGTAGAGAAGTTAGGAGAAAAGCTGCACAGACTTGTTTACCTCACCTGCTGGTTCTAATGAACCTAACCAACTTTTCCTGGTCCATGGGATTTGAAGTAATTGTAGCTCGGCTGGACATAGATTTTACAAAAATTGTGCGTTTAATAATGACATTACAAGTAATTTTGTACAGTCCTCTTTTCAATCCAATCATATATGGGCTAAAAATGAAAGAAATATACAAACATGTCAAGAGGTTGTTTTGTCCAGGCAAAATTTTCTAAGAATGTCATTTTTTTAGTATCATACTAAAGCAGAGAAATGATTTTTTTTCTGAACCTTTAAAAGCACCGGATGTAAACATTTGTCTCTCAACCTCTAATGAGCACAATGTCATCCACTTCAACAATGTACTGACTACTGACTTAATATTAAAACCCAAACCGACAAAACCAAAGATACATTTATTCTCTTGAGAATTTTTCCAGTTTGTTTTTATTGAGCTGTAACAAAAATATTTGACATGATTATTATTTGCTTGTATTTTTTTATATAGTTTATAATCAACATGTTCATATTTGAAATTAACAGCCCTAAATGCAAAACTATGTTCAACTTTCTGATTTGGCAGTGGAAGTGAAATAGCAGTTTGGTGCCCTGAAAGACAAAAAACCTTTTAATGTTATTTATGTTTTTTAATATACTAACTACACCATATTCTTGTTTCTGTCAAATTACTGTTTTAGCATTATACACAGGGTGTGTATATTTTTGCTGGTTCTCCTGAAATGTGTCAGTAACTCCTTTTACAAGGATGCCAGCTGTAGTTGTCATAGTTGTGGTTCATAAATTTAGCAGAATGTATAATAAACTTCTCTTTACATCTGCACCTATTATTATTTTCCTAAAATGCATATGCAATCAGAATCCGTTTTATTGTCTTAGAACAGCTTACATGCACATTAACACTGAAGGGTATGTCTCTTTTTATCAACCTGTGCAATATTCCATCTTGGGCAATAACATTTTTTTTGTGCAATCAAAAATATTTTACCTATGGTGTAAACAAAAACATTCAATAATTTTCAACTGTGCAATATGACATGAAATTATCCTGTTTTTATACGCACATATATATATATTATATTTGTCTATTTATTAGTAATTCTTTTTTAAAAAATTTCTATATAGGAAAATGTTTAGCAAGATAGTTAGCTTGCTTCTGTCAGGTTTGCCCGGTTGCACCTCCTTTCTCACTCCCCTCACTCTGTTTTCTCTCCCTTTACCTGATTACGCTATCCTCTACACCTGCTTGTCACCAGCTGCACCTGATTAGTTTCTCCCTATTTAGTCCCTGCTCTT